AAAAAAGAAGCTATATTTCTTACAATATATAAGTTAAATGTTAGTTTACCAACTATTCTATCTAAACTATATTAGAAAAGAAATTTTAAAACCAATATATTGTTTAGATAGTGGCATATATGGTTATGCTATTTGACGATATGAAATATTTGAAAAGAAATATTGAAAAATCATATATTATATTTTTATCATATTGTATATATATGTTTTTTAAATGATTAAATTAATATATAGTATATATATATTGTATATACATTATTATTATATTTTATTATAGGCTTCTATACTTATTTGTTTTTTTTTTGAAATTTTCTAAATGATAATTTATCAAATTAAGGTTTATTTGAAAACAATTATACCTCCAAACCCAAAAACCCAATTATACTATAAATGTTGGTAATAATGCACATATAAATAATGTTTGTATGACAAAAATTCATAATACTTAAACGCGAAACCTAATTTAAGCAGTCGACAATCGTCGTCATATGACTAGAATCATATGATTTATGATTACTGGGATATTTATCCAACTATTGATCGTTCAATCCAAGTTAAGAAGGTCATGCGATCCTCAATCGGATGGTGATTAATAACATGTGTTTTGAATAACAGCAGGTGTCAAACATTTCAAATATCATCATCTCAATGCTCATTTATATATGATCATGGTTTAGGCACTTTGCTGTTCATTAAATAGAAATCCATATGATACTAATTTGACATGCATACGGATACGTTTTATGTTTTAGTATAAAAATTTATCGGGTTGATCATTCTTCTATAAATATCAAGTTTTAAAGAGCCCAGTATCGATGATTCAGACTTCATTTTATTTATTGCTTCCTTTTTGTCCCGAGAAGAATTCTTAGTTACAGTTTTCAAAAGTCTAATTATTTCTCGACATTAAAAACCAAACCATGTACCCAGAAAACGTTGGAATTTTGGCCATCGAGATATATTTTCCGAAGAGGGTAAGTAATGCTTCGGAAAAGAGGAGAATTATGCATTCATTCATTGACGCGTCATTTCGATTTCCTTTGTGACATTGTTAACGATACTTCTGGACAGTATGTTGACCAAAGCATGCTCGAAAAATATGATGGCGTGTCCGCTGGTAAATACACTATTGGATTGGGCCAAACAAAAATGGGATTCTGTGATGACCGTGAAGGTAAGGTGAAGAAATACTTTGAATCATCTTTGTCAATAATACACAGATGATTTATTTCATTAATTTACAGATATTAATTCTATCGCTTTGACCGGTAAGTTTTCTTGCTAAATATTGAATTTTCTCACCAAGGATATAATATAAGTTATTCGATCATAAATACCTTTCTTTGTAGCTGTCCAAAACCTCATTGAAAAATATAAAATTTCATATAGAGATATTGGCCGCCTCGAAGTTGGCACCGAAACTATTAGTAAGTCTTTGATGCTTCTTATGTTACCTTGTCCTCATATTTGACATTAACTATCTACAATAATACAGTTGACAAGTCAAAATCCGTAAAGACAGTATTGATGCAACTCTTTGAAGAATCAGGGAACACCGATGTCGAAGGCATCGATACCACAAATGCATGCTATGGAGGTGATCTCAGGGTTTATTTTCTCAATAAAAAATGAAAGCTCGATTTACCTAACTAACTATCCTTTTATTATGTTTTAGGTACCAATGCTCTTTTCAACTCCCTGAATTGGATAGAATCATCTTCATGGGATGGTCGTTATGCTCTTGTCGTTGCCGGTGACATAGCTATTTATGATTCTGGTCCGGCACGCCCTACCGGTGGTGCAGGATGCGTCGTCATGTTACTTGGAAAAGATGCGCCTATTGTAATTGACCGTGGTAATTATCATATATTTCTCCTTTATTGTTAATTCATAACGTCTAGTATGATTTAATTCATTATGTAAATACAGGCCTTCGCGGAACTCACATGGAACATGTTTGGGATTTCTGTATG